ACCCCAACCGGTCGCAGCAGATGGCCCCGCCCCTCCCTGAGCCTGGTTCTGCCGGAGGTTTCTTCCTGTTAAAAGGGAGTTTTTCCTTCCCACTGTCGCCAAAGTGCTTGCTCATAGGGGGTCATATGATTGTTGGGTTTTTCTCTGTATCTATTATTGTACAATAATATAAGGACTATTGTACAATACAATATTGTATCTACTGTGCAATATAAAGTGCCTTGAGGCGACTGCTGCTGTGATTTGTGGTCCTGGTAGACTAATGCTTAAAATAAAACTTCCTTCACTGTCCCCACTTCCTAAACACAATACAAACAAGCTTTGTAACTTAAGAGGTAATGTATTATTATTTGCCTTGAACATAATTAATAATGTCTGTAATTTCACCAAATCTTCTAATTTCAGCAATTTCAATTTTATAAACAGTTCATTTGTATGATCTCTGTATTTAACATTGTGAATCATTCATACCACTTTCTTCTGTAACAAGTATAAAGGTTTTATATTACTTACATATGTATTCCCCCACACTTCAACACAATAATTGAGATTGGGGGAAATTAGTGACAAATATAAAATACGCATTGCCTTATAATCTAGTATCTCTGACATTACTCGAAATATAAATATTTTTAACCATCTGTTTTCTAACATGTTCAATATGACATTTCCATCTTAATTCATCATCCAATGTTACCACCCCCCAAAATGAAGTTCAGTAACTCTGGTGACAGCATAATTACTGAATGGGTTTCAGCTGCCCTGCACAGATCTTAAATGTAAACTGAATCAGTGGTAACGGCAGAAAGCTACGAGTTTTTCTAATTACTGTGGAACATGGCAACAGCAGTGGTGACAATACACAGGCACGTGAACTACAGTGGGGCAAAAAAGTATTTAGTCAGCCACCGATTGTGCAAGTTCCCCCACCTAAAATGATGACAGAGGTCAGTAATTTGCACCAGAGGTACACTTCAACTGTGAGAGACAGAATGTGAAAAAAAAAATCCATGAATCCACATGGTAGGATTTGTAAAGAATTTATTCGTAAATCAGGGTGGAAAATAAGTATTTGGTCAATAACAAAAATACAACTCAATACTTTGTAACATAACCTTTGTTGGCAATAACAGAGGTCAAACGTTTACTATAGGTCTTTACCAGGTTTGCACACACAGTAGCTGGTATTTTGGCCCATTCCTCCATGCAGATCTTCTCGAGAGCAGTGATGTTTTGGGGCTGTCGCCGAGCAACACGGACTTTCAACTCCCGCCACAGATTTTCTATGGGGTTGAGGTCTGGAGACTATTGTAGATTCACTCTTCCCAGTCTGGTGCAGGTCTACAATACTTTTCCTGGTGTCCTTCGAAAGCTCTTTGGTCTTGGCCATGGCGGAGTTTGGAGTCTGACTGTTTGAGGCTGTGGACAGGTGTCTTTTATACAGATGATGAGTTCAAACAGGTGCCATTCATACAGGTAACGAGTGGGGGACAGAAAAGCTTCTTACAGAAGACGTTACAGGCTGTGAGAGCCAGAGATTTTCCTTGTTTGAGGTGACCAAATACTTATTTTCCACCCTAATTTACGAATAAATTCTTTACAAATCCTACCATGTGATTCATGGATTTTTTTTCACATTCTGTCTCTCACAGTTGAAGTGTACCTCTGGTGCAAATTACTGACCTCTGTCATCATTTTAAGTGGGGGAACTTGCACAATCGGTGGCTGACTAAATACTTTTTTGCCCCACTGTACATGATGTATTCCTGTTTTTTCTTTTTAAAGCAACTTCACATTTAGGCTACATAAGAAAGTAGGATGTGACATTAAACCCAGCACAATACACACAAGCAAAGAAAAAGGAAAACACAACATGAAATGTAAATATGAACAATGGCTTTCATGACCATTTAAAACATGCATTATTATAAAATATTTTTTGTAGCAAATCTCGGCCTCTGTGACACACACGTACATTTAGATTATGATTGTATATGAATGTTACACAGAAAACACTTACACAGAAAAAGCACTTTGAGTATTCAGAAAGAGTAGGTGCTATATAAGAACCAGACCATTTAACTGCCCATTCCAGATACTGTCCCTCCCTCTGTCCACCTGCACAGTTCTGCAGGTTGAACATAAGCTGCTGAAATTCCTGGCCTCGGGCAAAGTATTCAGGCCAAGCAACTTTTCCTTGAGCTTGGGTCTTACTCTAAGTTTTCCTTAAGTAGGTCCAACACACAGTCTCCTGCCAAACAACAATTCAAAGTAAGAAAGATTAAGTGGAGGCCCAATTACATTAATCCTGGTGGATGAACTTATAAATCGTGGACTTTGAAGTCTAATTTCGGTGCTCCTGGAGGTGGTACACACTAGTCCGAATAATTTGTACAGCTCTTTAAAATGCGAGGTCAGATTTAAGTTAAGACTGATCACCAAGCAACTGAATGAGTGACAGGTCAATGAACACCAGAGGGAGGAGAGCAGGGATGTTGGAGTTAAGGAGTTAGCCAAGGTGTGTAAGGCTTTTGAGCGGGGTTTTTCTGCAGAGCACTGGAGCATTATCAGGAGCAAGAAATCCTTCCATGGCGAGTATCGCTTTGTCATCATCTTTGCTTATATTCAGCAGCAGTTAACCAGCTGGCACATTATAAACTGCCCAGATTTGTTTGTAATTACATGTTAATCTATGGATATTAATGAGTACAACATTTGTTTACATTAAATAACCTCAAAAATGACTAAGTGGCAGAGCTGTCCTTATGTCTATTATTGCTCAGGCTCATTGACTGCTGAGTGGTGTTTCTGCTCTGTTGGTCTGGATGGTTGAGAGACAGTTGGTTGGTTGGAAATTTGCTTAATTTCAGATTGTAATATATATTTACAGGCAGAGGAGCCGGGTTTCAGTGCTCACTACCAGAGCAGCTTTGAAAGTTGATGCTAGCATAATGTGGTGAGGCAGCAACACCTGTGGGAATGCTGGGAGTGACACAAATTGAGTTTGCTGCATCTTCTGGCTGCTGGAGGCGCTCCTGTATCTGCTTGGACACACAGTCCTTCAACAAGAGAACGAAAAATGTTGTTGAAATAGTTGATTCATAATCCTAATAATAAATGCTATTCAGACAAATTGGACTTAAAACTGCAAATAAGGTAAAACATTTTTACCTAAAACTTTTACTACTGAATTTCTAGCTCAACAACACATAATAACCATCACACACATTATTGCTGTCACACAATTACAATTTGACAGAGATTAATGAACATTCTCACGTTTGAAGATAAGGATTGAAACTCCCAGAAGCACCAGCACAATTATACACTTCATTACAGTAATGACCAGCTCGAAGACACCTGCAAAATAAACAAAAGGGTGTAAACTTTAGACACTGATGGAAAAATGTCTGTTCCAGCTGGCATCATGTTTCAAACTATGTGAAGATGAGTCTGAAATCACTTTAAGATTCTTAACGGGACTAAATATAGTTTAATTGTCTTTAGAGAGTTACTGATTCAAACTCAGCATTTACTTTTATAATATGTTCACATGTTGAAACAAAATAAAATAAAAATGTCAACATCTTTTCCGCAACCAATCACCAAAACAGTCTTACTGAGTCTAGCTAATCTCATAAATCAACTGTCTTATTGCATTTGCTCTAATTTCAGGCGACACTTTATAATGTTTAAAATTCAAAAGCTCGATGCAGTAGCTGGCACTGTTGTCTCACAGCAGGACTGGACCATCTTTCTGTGTGGACTTTGCATGACCTCTTTTTGCATCTGCACCAGTTCTTTCTGTGCTAACCTGCTGAGGTGGACTAAACAATGGACTGATCCCTGGTAGATTCCCAAGTGTTAATTAACAACACAGACATTAAAGTCATTGTAATTGTAATGTTCTGGAACTTAAAACTCAGTTTTCTATGTGAGATTGAATCAGCTCAGTTCAGAGTTCAACTAAGTTCATATTCACTTTGTTAAACATATTTTTGGGCAATACAGTGGTCCTTCACTATAAAGCGGTTCACTTTTTGAGGCCTCGCTGTTTTGCGGATTTTCTTGTGCAATTTTGCATGGGTTGTTGTTGTTGTTGTTGTTGTTTTTTTACAACACGTTGTATTCTGCATCTCCTCCGTGCTGTGTCTCCTGTTCAGTACAAAATGCGTTCAGCTTGTCAAATTTACATAATTCTTCCATGCTAGCAGTGTGACTCTGAAGTACTGTGCTGTATGTTTGTAAGTTTTCTCCCCAACAAACACAACAATGTCGATGAAACTTTTCGCACCGTTTTGTCTGCTGAAAGCAGAGGAAGATGATAACTATCAGACAAAAAGTCTGACTTCTGGACGTGCTAAAGGAACGTAGAAATTACCGTATTTTTCAGACCATTAGGCGCACCGGATTATAAGGCACATTAAGCGAAACAAAACAGTCAGATAAGTCAAACTTTACTCAACTCATTCTTCTTGCTTCCTCTACTTCTGTACCATTGATTCATTAATGCTGAATTCTCTGGCAGCTGCTCTGTTGCCATGTTCTGGACCTGAACACAGGGTTTGATCTTTGGTTTCGTTCTATAATACTGGACTTATTCTTCTACTAAGGTTTGAACTTTGAGAGTTTAAACAAGACAGAAAAGTGTGAAAATGTTCACGCCTGTCATAGAAAAGTGTATAAAGTGTGTTGTGAGGGGTTTTACAGCCTTAAAACATCTATATTAATTGTAAAAAATGAAGTTGGCTACTTTCTGGATTTCACCTGTCCTGGGTTATTTTTAGAACTCCCGCGATAAACGAGGAACCGCTGTACAGCCCTTTGATGCTCAATCAAAACAACATTTTTAGGAATCGAGCTGTAATTAATCTAAATTCAGCTCACGCTCCATACCATTCACTGGTGGTAATGCACCAAGAGACACATGTGTGACCTGCACTGTGGTCACACGTGTGCCCAGTCCCAGTACTTGTGTGTGATTTGGGGCATATCTGGGCCTAAGTGGGGCAGTCTTCATCTAGAGTGTGGGTATATGCCTTCCTAAATGCAGGGATGCCTAAACAAAGGAGAGATTATGGCCATTTTAAATAAATGTACCAGACCACCTTGAACTTTTCAGCAACGATATTTAATTGAAGGACTAAAATGTGCAGCCAATGGTACACGCTGCTGCATTTCATGGTGACATGGTCCAGTGTGGGCTTCTCTGACTGCAGACTACCTCTGCTGGACATACTCTTACATCAGACCCACAGGACCATGTCTGCTGGCTTAGAGGCTTCAAAGTGGTCACTCCCTTTGTGGACAAACACAGATTCTTACCAGAGCTCACGTGAGGAACAGCAGCTGACTGTGTGAAAGTTGGTGATGCTGTTGATGGCTCTATAAAAAAAAGTGAGAATTATAATTAAATGTATTTGTCCAACAAAAGATTAAGACATACATCAAATATACATCAGGTAGCAAAAGTAACACTGACCCATCATAGATATAATTTAGATAAATACACCAGTTGAATTTGGTGAAACCCTTAGAGCAACATTGTGGTCCTCGCTCCATACCATTCACTGGTGGTAATGCACCAAGAGACACATGTGTGACCTGCACTGTGGGTCCCAGCACTTATGTGTAATTTGGGCCATATCTGGGCCCGAGTAGGGCAGTCTACACCTAGAGTGTGGGCATATGCTCTCCTAAATCTAGGCATGCCTAAACCCTTAAATAAATATAGCAGACCACTTTGCAGCAGCAGTATCTCACTGGAGGACTAAAATGTCAGCCTGTGGTATAGGCTGCTACATTTCATGACCACATGCCCAGTGTGGGTTTCTCTGACTACAGACTTCCTCTGCTGGACATATGTCTCCCCAAAGTGCTCTCACACAGGGCCCGCACACAGATGACCATGTTAGAGACTTCAAAGTCATCACTCCCTTTGTGGACAAACACAGATTCTTACCAGAGCTCTCATGAGGAACAACAGCTGACTGTGTGAAAGTTGGTGACGCTCTTGATGGCTCTATAAACAAACAGTGAGAATTATATTTAACTGTATTTGTCCAACAGAAGATTAAGACATACATCAAACATGCATCAGGTAAAGTAACACTGGTCCTTCACAGAAACACACCAGAATGTTTTGACTCTTAGATCCTGAAAAAATGTTTCCTGGACTTTTTAATTGGTTTGATATATGGACTTAAATATATGATACATGATTAATAATAAACCCACAGCACCTTCAACCTCCAGTTTTATTCGTCTGACTGAAACTCTGTAGCTTCCATAATTTGATTCCACTCCACACCAGTAGACACCAGCGTCCTGTGAGGAAACACCACTGATGGACACGTCGAAGCCTCTGTTGGTGTTTGTGAGTCTGAATTTCCCGTTTAACCTCTGACCTTTTGTTGACAAAATATCCTTACAGGTGAAATTCTCCCCTCTGCAGAAAAACTTGACCCAGGACTTGAAATCATCATTTGGATCACACTTGATGTTAGCTGCTCTGGTCACAGTTTGAGTAAATGGCTGCTGGCAGTTTTCTGTATAAAAATAAAGACAAAACCCCCCAAACAAGGGCAATAAAGTATTTGAATGTGCTTCATTATATCACAACATGTAACTTGTACTTTGTCGCACACTACTTTAACATTTTTAACTTCCTCGTGTGCTGACAAAGGTGTGAAACAGATGAAGACACGAGCAAACTGTGAAATTTCCTTTCAAAGGTCTGAGATGTAAAGTAACTTCTGAGATTAAAAAACAAACAAAGTAATGTAAACATGCGTTTCACCTGTAATCTGTAATAAATCTTTACATTTCCAAACTATGATTTATGTTGTGTGATAGAAACAAACTATATAATACCAAAATACAGGTGAGGAAATCTGATTTTAGTTATTAATTTCTTGTGTTGTACTAATAACATCAACAACAACAATAATCACATTTCTTACCACAATCCAATTTCTTTATGACAGGAGATCTGTTTGAGCCTTGATCAAATTCACATCTGTACGTCCCAAAGTCTGCTTGTTTAAGATCTCTGATGCCCACCACGAGAGTTTTATGTTTTGTATCATGGTACAGAGAAAATCTGCCTTTATCTTCCCAAACATCCTTCAGAGAGCTTTGTAAGCGTGTTCCATTGGGAATAACTACATTGACGTGGTCATATTTTTTATTTGCTCCAGGATATTTGCAGATGAATTGAACCCATCCTTGTTTGCATGCCATCAAAACATCATCATCACCATAGGCAGCACAACCTGCAGATCAAAGAGAAATGTTAGTATCCTGTTATGTCCTGTTATTGAATTTTCTGTGTTTAGTAGGTAGGACCCCTTCTCATACACTTAACACTATAGATAATCAGACATCTGTGTCACATATGTATATGTAGTGTTGCTTAGTGTGAGATATCTGTAAGTATGTGTTAGTAATGTTTTTACCTGTCGTCAGTGAGAGGATGAGTAGTAGCAGTAAGTTCATTATGTTGGTTTCAGATCTGCAGTTAGCTTCCTTTTGTCACACTGGCTCTTCTGTTGGTCGCTTAAATTTCTGTCACATAATACCTAAAGTTTCCTCACACTAACTTTTCTGTTTAATGTTATTTTGTCATAGGTTACGATCTTATCATTGGCAGTAAAGATGAGGTAAGTGTTGCGTGGGACAAAGGAAATGATCAGACAGCACGACAGAAATAGCTTCATACTTTTAGTTTTAACTGCACCATCACGTCAAGGTTAGGCTATGAAGAATATTTCACAAAAGCAAAGCAACGTTTATTTGTATGTGACCACATGATGTCGAATGACACTGATTGTCACGGAGGAGCAGGGAGGACTCGGCGCAGACTGAAATCTCAGAAAAACAGGTTTATTTACACACTCCAGGTGCACTATATACAGGTGAAGGAGAAGGGGGCCAGGGTTCCCAGGGGTGCAGAGGGGGGTCGGGAAAAGCGTCCAGAGTCTCCAAACCAAGCACGAGAAATCTGCATACAGAGAACAAGGGTTAGCACGGAACTTTCACGGACAGAGCTCAAAACTGGCTGAGGCTAAAGTAGCACTGACGAGCGTTATTCAATAGTCCAGCGGCGAGGTGCTCTCAGTCACTGCCTTAAGTAGCGGGAGCAAACAAGGTGAGGAGCCACAGGTGATTGCCTACAGGTGGTGGAGGCCGGGAGCTCACAATGAGCTCCGCCCAGGCAGCGAGCAGAGAGAGAGGAGAGAGAAAAGACAAAACATAACATGTAGCCACACAGGGCCAGCCGAGCAGGCACGGGGACCATGACACTGATTCCAGAAAATTTGAACACTGTCTGAACTGGAGATGAAAGAAAATATTTTAGTCTCTTAAACCTCGACTGAAAACACCTCGAAGACAACACGTCGAATGATGGGAAAGCGACATGTTTCCCACCACATTCATTCACAACATCAGGTAGTTTGCTGAACTCTAAAATCGTTTTAGAATATTTATAGTAGTAATGTAAATGTGAATCACTAACCAAGCCAATTTAATCAAATCTTTAATTTCACGTCACAAAATCTGTCGTTTTCATCCTGCAAACCAGATGTTTAAGGCCCAGTTTCATCTGTAAATTGATGTAATCTGTAAACCCTGTAAGCTAAAATGAGCCTGCATCATTTCTGCAGAAGCAGAGCCAGGAGCAGGAACTGTTCTAACCCTGAGAGAGGTTGGTGTTCGGCAATGCAGCAAAAATAACGATGAGTTAACTTCCAACTAAAAACCTGTGGGATCAAGAAGTGGCACAAATAAACTGCTGCATGACCACAGACATGCAGAAAAACACTTATCTTGAAAGCAGGAAGTGATGCTAACTACATCACTGTGATACACGGACCTGTTAACTTGTCACTGACAGCAAGATGAGAGTCAAAGAATGGCCTGGTAAAGGTTAATTGAGTGGTTGAGTCGACAGCACACACAGACTGATTTGTTCTTAGTTTAGATAAGTTCTGGTTATTAGTTTCTTTTTTTTAAATTCCCTGATCAATTACTGATAGATGAATTGATAAAGGAATCTATGACCCTTTCTTTCTTCCACACAATGTGTTATTTACAGTCTGTGTGACCAGCTCACATTTTATGAACCAGTCATTGTGCTAAATAAAATCACTGAGCCAGTCATCCTTCTGGGAAATACTTTCCACCAATTACGACATCATTTGCAGATTTCATCTAAACTCTTTGTTATGTCCCCAAGACGGAGGCCCGAGGAGGGTGTGGGGAGCAACAAAAGTAGAGCTGGGAGAGAAAGAAACAAGCAAAATAATACAGAAACTTTTAAATTATAAACTTTATTCTTATCGACACAAAGAGACAGCAGTGCTGTTATATCAATATCAAAACAAAAAGAAAAACATGACACAATTCACCAGGAAAGAAGGACAATCTGCTATTACTAAATAAAAAAGCAAATATAATAACGTTGTGTTATCTTAAGTCAAAAGCCAAACCAAAAACATACATAAGAAATATGCACGCACAAAAAAAAAGAAAGAGAAAAAACTCCCCAAAGACATATTAAGAGGACCACAACAGTAGTCAGTAGTAGCTGCCCACTCAGCTCGAGTGTGAGCATCATTAGCAGTTCATTTTTCCTTATAGATTCAAGCTGCTCTTCATATTCTTGGCCACCAGACGCCGCCAAAGAGCACTATGTTGAAAAAGTGGGTAACAAACACTTTTTCAAAACAAGCTTAATTTGCCCATCACTAGATTTCAACACTGCTCCCACAAACACAACTCCAAAATACATTACCGGGCTCTTCTTTTGCTCAACCTCGGTTTCATACACTAGAAAACAACACCTGGATTTTATAATGTCGGGGTTAATGGCTGAGTGGGTCCAGGTGCCGACTGGGGAAAAGAGCGGCATGTGGGCCCTGGAGAGAAAAGAGAGAGAGAGTGGAAGAAAGAGCAGCACCACACACCTACACCTGCCCAGTTCCACAGAATATAACACGCTTTAAAAAGCACATTTCATTTTGGCTCAGGCTCATTGATTACTGAGTAGAGATTCTCCTCTGCAGGTCTGGATGGTTGAGTGATTGTCGGGTTGGTTGGACATTTGCTTAATGTCAAAGTAGAATATTCACAGGCAGAGGAGCTGCGTTTCAGCGCCTCACCACCCGCTTTGTCAGAGCAGCTTTCAAAGTTGATGCAATCGTAAAGTGGTGAGGCAGCTGTGGGAACGCTAGCAGTGACATAAATCGAGGTCAGTGCATTTTCTGGCTGGTCTGGTTGCTGGGGGCGCTCCTGTATCTCCTCATACGTACAGTCCTTCAACTACAAAATAAAAAAATATAGTTTAAAAACTTCATATAAAATCACATAAAACTTTTGGATGTTTATTCATCTGTATGATTTATTGCTGTCATGTTTTATGATAAATACACCCTACAATCATTTTCAAAATGATTAAAAAAACATTGCGGCAGGTTATGTTGCAATGTGCTGATTAGTTGTAATCATTAGTTGCCAGTAAAATATATTTCAAAGGAATGTATATTTTTTTCATTATTGCCGTAATGTGAAATATATTTCATCCTTTATAACAGACGTCTGCCTGAAAAGCTTTCATGAGCCAACATCTGTGTGTCTGCAGTTCAGTCCAGGAGGTTTTAACTGGGGAGACATTTCAACTATGTTTCCTGGATTGTCACCAGTTATACATGAAAATAAATAAATAAACAAACTAAAATTCCACACTAACCTCTTTGGCATGTTGCAATGCTGCATTAGCTCCTCTGCATTTTGAAAAGGAGATTCCTGGCAGAAACAAAGCAGAAAATCAAGAAATAAGCAAAATTATCTGTTAAAGATTTACATTTTTTCTAGTTTGATTGTTTTTAAATGTCTGATATGATGAGAACTCAGCAAAGATTATATCTTTCATAACTTTAAAAAATCTATGTCAGCTAATGTCATGCATCATGTATACTGCAGATTGTTAGATAGCATTTGTACAAAAGTACAGGGATGTGTTTTTTCTTTTTTTGGATAAAAGCAGCAAATATGTTTGTGTGACTGATGATGTACAAAGGATTTAGTGAAAGTTCTTACGTCTGTAGACAAGGATGAAAACGACCAGAAACACCAACCCAGTTATTATGATTAGAACTATTCCAACGTCAGAAATGCCTGCAGCGTAAACCAAACAACAATTTTCCAGCATTATTCATCATCCCAGCATTGACATCCCGAACTGTCTTTGTTGGAAAATGTGAAAGGAGCAGTTTTTAAGAAATTTAAAAAATAAAAAATGTTATGTGAACATCCACAAACTTTCCCAGTTCTCATAAGCTGCAGAAGTTTTAGGATACCACATGTACTCTCTCACCATGACTCTCAGCAGATGCAGTGGGTCCTGTAGTTGAAAAAACAGCAGACGTAAATGATTGGTGGAAACCGAAGGAAACAAATGTGCATTCAGACTCTACTTTGAGGCATTAGATTAACAGAGTTTAATTAAATGATAAAATAATATCATCAATTTGGAAAAAAAGAATATTTATAATTTTTAGACACCAGCTTAGAGGTTACCATCTCGTTTTCCTCTCCAATTTTTAAAGTGGCATTACGAAATATAATTTTAGTAAAGTGAAGTGAAGTTAGCCAGTAAAAGTCTTGTGTTCGATGGGGTTCGATCCCAGTCTGCATATCAAATATCCTTGTGCAAGATACTAACCGCTGGTTGCTCTCCGATGCAGCCATCAGAGTGTGAATGTGTAAGAATGTAAGTTAGGTTGCACTGAAAACCTAGAAAAGTGCTTGTGTGAATGGGTGTGATTTGTTGAATGAACAAGTTGTATAAAGCGCTTTGAGTGCTCAGAGTAGAAAAGCGCAATATAAGAACCAGTCCATTTACCATTTATTAACCTAATGTAGTAATACCTCATAATCATAAAATACACATTTTTAGTGCCGAGCATAAGCACATCCTCTTCTGTGTCAAACCTTTTTGGCAAGTTCGTTTCTTTTAACTTCTTTTAAAGTCATTTTCTTGCTAACAGTTACGATTAAAAGTCTTTATTTTTTAGTATTTTTATTTTTAAAATGATTTTATTAAAACTGCAAAAAACAAAACATTATAAATAATGAATTAAAAGTAAAATATATGTGCAAAATGAGCCTGCTTTAATATGCTGTGCATTATGACCCAGGGTCAGATAATAAAATAGCACGGCTCACCTACAGTCAGGGACAATCTGTTGAAGAACCTGTTACTTCGGTGTTCATTGGTGCTTTCTGCTCCACACCAGTATGTCCCACTGTCGTCCACTGTCACTTCTCTCACTGTCATGGTGATATTTTTCTTTTTTTTATTGTCATTCATCCAAAACCTCTTGTTCCTATTGGGATCTCTGGTGCTTACTAAAGGTGTACATATAGATGGATCTTCTCCCTTACAGATAAATTTTGTATAATTTGAGAGAGTCTGGTTATATTTACACCAGTAC